CAGAATAGAATTATGAAAACAAAACTATGGAGTGATATTTAAAATTGTCACAAAAGAATAAGTGCAGTAATTATAGACTAATTAATACGCTGTAATAATCGTCTTAGTTTGCCTAAGGATCAACGATCTTTTGGATACGGATACTATTTTGGTATAACATTGAATTCAGAACAAAAAAAAAAAAGTTGTTTTTTTTAGTTTTCCTTAGACATTTTTTTTTCTATACTGCTACTGACCATATAACAAGTTTTTTTTTTTAAATTCTTCTTTAGGATATGTAATAAATTGTAGAAAATTGTTTATTAAACTATTCATTAAAAAGAAAAAAAAAAAAAGCTCTGGAAAATATAACCAATCTATACGTTGTTAAACAGTTGCCAAAAAAAGAACATCAACAACAATTGCTAATAGCCAAATTGAAGTGTTTATCCCCGTCAATAAACCAGATAAGAAGGTCCTTGACTAAAGCACTTTTCTGCAGAAAAGGAAAAAATAATAATAATAATAATAATAATAATAATAATAATAATCAATAATAATAAATTAATTTTGAGATTTTTCGGAATCAGATAATAATAATAATAATAATAATAATAATAATAAATAAGCAGGTTTGATTGGATTCAAGCAAGTAGCAGCTTCTTTTTTTCTTCTCTTCTTTCATTTAAAATCTGTAGTCATAAATAGTCAATAAAATTATTCAAATTTCTGGACAAAAAACTATTTCTTTTCCTCATCTGTAATCCGGATTTTTAAACAAATTTGTTGGCTATACAATAAAATTGTTTCTGGAATAAATCTATGTATATGTCTCATTATTAAAAGTTTTTATTGGTTCTTAAAAAGAAAAGCAAAAAAAAAAAACTTGTACTTTAAAACAGTTAACGTTGCTTGATTAAACAACTTATTTTATAACTATTAGATAGCATAAGTCTGATCAAACTGCTGACTTTTCCTAAACAGTACTAAAGTTTACAGTACTAAAATGAACAGGTGCAGTGATTTAAGTTCAAATATCAAATGTTATAAACGAAAAATTTTTCCAACGGTATAATTTGACCTTTCAGTATATGCATAAACTGTACTCAAATTTATGTATTTTAAAAACTCAAATTGTTTTTTTTTTTAAACCTCAATAATTAATCTGTTAATATAAAACAGGAAAAGAATTTTGATAAAATAGAAATTAGGATTTTTATGCATGAAACAAAAACAGATATTAGGTTCATATTACCTTACCTTAAAAGGTTTGTCTAAACCGTTTTAAGTCTGACTTTTTTTGTTTTTTGAACAATTAAGACTTTGTTGGAAATATTTCTGTACAAAATATTATTGGTGTTAAAAAATATCAAATTTTCAACTGAAAAAAATGCCTGTTTTCAAGTAATTTCGGAAAAACTTTTGCTCATTCATAAATCTCCTACAGTGTAATAGACGACTTCAGTAGCCTATTTTCATCAAATTCCTATCGTTCAAAAAAAAAAACTAATACAGTTACTGGTAAATAGAAAAGTTGAATTTGTTGTAGATGAATTAACAGAAACTACAACAAATGTACCATCTTTAAATTGCAGAATAATTTTCTAAAACCCGTACAGTTATTGCTATTTTACAGCTAAACTTTAATTTATCATACAATATTATTAGAAAAAAACTGTGCACGTTTTATCAAAAGTAATATTTTATTGAGAGAATAAATTTATTATCCTTATCATCTGTTACCTATTAATTGCATCCTCTGAAACGATAGAACAATCAACAGTAATATATCATCGACCAATTCATTGAAAAAAAAAAAATTTTTTTCCGTTCATTTTCTCTTATCCCACTTATCTCTCATTAATTCATCCTATCAATCGTATTCAATTATTAAACATTTCTCTTCGTCTAAATATAGTATAATTCTAGAGAAAATAGAAAAAAAAAAA